CAGCCCACGAGAGCTGCGGAGCACTGTCCTACAAGTAGAAAAGCCACCACCCTCATCAGGACAGACCCCAAGATCTAACTTGTGGACTGTTGATGTCGGCTCTTAGCAGGAGGGGATGGAAGGGTCATTAGATTCAGGCTGCTCCATCAAGTACCCCTTGGCCAGTTGTATGCCATTCTACCCTAATTATCCCTGGACTCACGGTCTCGGGAAGTGCTAGAGTATACAGACCGGGGAAGGGTAATGGATGGGGTAACTCCATCCATGCAGTTATGGGACGTCATCATCATCTGGGCTGGGATGAGATGTTCTGGTATTATGGCTACTTTGAGGTCTCTGCACTTTTGTAAGTAAGCCCTCATTCATGACGTGTTAGTAGGCCCAGGAAACTTAGTAGTTCTCCACGTTGGTCCCTGGCTTGTTGTTGGCGTCCATTACAGAGAGCATCCCCACAACAGCAGGCTGTAGGACTGCTGTGTGGACTAAGGTGCAGGGTAATGAGACGACCATTAGCAGCCAAGCACGTGTGTGATGAGCTAAGGAAGCCATGCTTTGGAGCAACATGACTGAGTTTGCACTTGAGCTCTGCGGCTCGTGCCCTTGTGTGACCTGGGTTATTTTCCCTACTCTGACAGCTCCATTTGGAGACACTGGGATTTCAGAGAAGCTGTGTGGACCCAGCAGTCACTCTTGAGTTCTGGACAGATTGAACTTGATGGCACTTGCATCATCAACTTTATTTCTGAGAAGGCAGATGGAGATGAAGCTTAAACCTATGCCCAAAGGTGTGATTTATATCCTGACCCAAACATAGGGACTGCAGCTCCCTCAGCAACCATCTCCAGAGCCTCCGGTGGGATGGCTCCCCTCGGCACCACCTGATATCCTTCAGGATGGGGTGGTTCCAGCCATGGAAGTTAGTCAATGAGGCTAGGTTCTCTCATCTCCTCCAATAGGTGTTTGAATATTCCATAAATGAGTTGAAGTGAACATATTGATTGACCACTGCAGGGCATCCAGAGTCAGAAGGTCCCTTGCACGACCCCATGGGCTATTCTCTACCCTCCCCCAGCCAGGAATCTTGGGCAGCAGGCAGGAAGGTTCTCTCAGTGCTTGATACAGGGGAGGTTTCCAGCTACTGTGCCTAGGGAACCCACTTTGTGGAAAGAATCACTTCCCAGCTTTGTGAGCAGTGTGAACCTTCCTGAGTTATATTTTTAGTGATTTAATCTGCTACATTGGGTAAAACTCTGGCTGAGTTCCTCTTGCAAATGTTAAGGAAAGGAGATCTCATGAGAGAAGGAGAAGGGGAGAGGGAGAAGGAGGGAGGGGTGGGAAGGGAGGGGAGAGAGAGACAGAGACAGGGAGAAACAGAGAGGGAAAGAGAGGGAGAGAGACAGAGAGAGAAGGAGGGAGGGTAGGGGAGGGAAGGAGGGAGGGCAAGGGAGGGAAGGAGGGAGAGAGGGGGAGAGAGAGAGAGAGAGAGAGAGAGAGAGAGAGAGAGAGAGAGAGAGAGAGAGAGAGAGAGAGAGAGAGAGAGAGAGAGAGATCTCAAAAGGAGGCTGCCTCACATCCCGGAAGAGTCTCAGAAAGCTTAGACTTCCTGTAGCTATTTGGAAGGGTTGACGAGGTTCCTGAAGCTGTCTGTCCCCACCCCTCTGTGGTATTTTTATTGCTATCTGTATGTTCTCTTATAATGATCCAGAAAGCCCCTAAAATGGAAAGAGCTCATGTGCACATTTTCTACGGCAACAAGGAGGAAATGAAGCAGAGAAACTGTTCTGCCAAGTCTGTGGAGAGCCCAGGAGGGGAGGGAGGGAGACAGCAGAGAGAGCAGCAAGCTGCAGTCTGCAACACTGACAGTAAGAGGAGAAGGAGCCAGTGGGCATGGCAGGCGTTATCCAAGTGAGACAGAGACATAACTGCATTCCTCATCGCTTACGGTTCCTCGGCAGTGTCTCACCGTGTCCTCAAGGCTGCTCTCGCTACCAGTCCTCTCTCAGCATCCCACGTGCTGATTACAGATGTGAGCTGCCACGCCCAACTGATTTACTGTCTTAATCAGAGACATCTGGGTGAATTCCTAAACAATTGGTAGAAAATTCATACCCCTGACAGTGGAGAATGCAAAAAAAAAAAAAAAAAAAAAAAAAAAGCACTTTCAGTGGTTAGCACTTGCTGTTTCCTCAAAAGACCAGAGTTTGGTTCCCAGCACCCACATGAACTCACAACTGCTGTTAACCCCAGCTCCAGGGAACCTGACCTCCTCCTCTGGCCTCAGCAGGCACCGCACACATATGCACATACATGTGTGCTCTCACATACATGAGACTAAAATTAAAAATATTTTAATTATTTCCTCATTTTAAAATACGCCCCCCCCCCGCCGCCCAATCAAGTTATCTCAACATTACAGATATACTGACTAAGGGAAGATTTTGTCATCATGTCAGCTGATTAATGTGCCAATTAATTTGTAAGCCTCAGGTTTGGGATGCAAACAGCACAAATAGTTGTCTGACAAAGCTTTCTTTCTTGGTGTTTTTCTTCTTAGATCATCTAGCTGTCAGTATTTCATTTTAAGAGTGGTAATTAAGAAAGGGGGAAAATCTTTTCCATGACTTTGAATCAATAAAACTTCTGGGTTAGACATTTTACCCAAATATAGGACTTCCAGTGATTAAGCTAACTTACCCCTTTCCAACTGTAACATCCTGCTTATTAAAAAGACATAAAATGTCATCCCCAGCATTCAGGCTGTGCTAAAATCAGAGTGTCTGTGAGCTCGTGTGTCAGAAGAGCCCTGACCACTTGGGGTTCTTGTTTCTTTTTTGGTTTTGGTGTGAAAGAGGGAGGGAGATCATTCGATTTCAGTGAAATGGAAACATTTGTTCACTTGCCGGCCGGCCTATCTTAGCCGGCTTCTTTCCGTCTGCTCTGGGCTGTCCTCAGGCTGTGCGTCTGTTCACCGTTTACCTGCTAGAGCCCTCTCTCCCCATTTGTCTGTCTCCTTTCACACTCCAAAGCCTCCAAAGTCCAATTTGTTTAGAGGAATGTTCCGTTAATATCTTACATTTCAATGCAGTGTGCACTGGTTTTCTCCTAGCCATGGGTTGAAGTTTTGCGTATCCCCAGTGTCTATGAAGTTGGTCCTGAGACACTTGTCCCTGCTCTGTCCCACAATGCATTAGGCTTGCCTGTGAGGATTCTGCTGGATGATTTCGCATGTTGGTTTCTAGACATGCCTAGCCTGTCAAGTCCCAACTTAAAACACTTGTGTTGATTTTAGTCAATGTCTTTGTTATCCCTTGTGCAGTTACTGGTCATCTCCCATGTAAGGGACTGTGGCCATGAGAGGCAGCCCTGTCACTATATCAGTCCTCGGTCCACCTCTCCCCCTGCCTCTGCTTCCCAGGCTCACCCCCAATCAGCACAGCAATTTCCCAGTTGCCCCCTAATTGGAGCATCTCTTGGGGCTTCCCACCATGCCTTCCCCTCAGCCACTAAGATCCTTTTGATCATGCAGCAGTCAGCCCTGTCTCCTACAAACATAACCCAGTCCCTACTGAGTTGGGTTCAGTCTGTATCATCCGACACGTCCTTTTCTCTGTACCACTTTCTTGGCCTTAGCCATGCTCTGGCCCCCATCCATATGCTGCCCGACCCACTACGAGAATCCTTTGAGGAGAGTGTGCCTTCTCGCCGTGTCTTGACATTCCTCACTTAAATGCCCCCTCTGTTTCCTCATTTTCTCCCTTCTCTGTGTTCTTCCACAGAACTGTGTGATCCTTGTCCTGCTACACCAGACACTCTACTGTGAGCAACTGTCTATGTGAGGCTTGCTTTCCTGTTCAGATTGTGTGTGTGTGTGTGTGTGTGTGTGTGTGTGTGTGAGTGTGTGTGCAGGGCACATGTGTACCAGAAGTCAGAGGACACACTCAGGGGACAGTTCTAGTCTTCTGTCTCTTCTTGAGATAGTCTCTAGTTCACTCCAGCACACTCCATGCTAGCTGGCCCAGGATCTTCTAAGAATTTTCTTGTCTCCATGACCCATCTCTGGGTAGGAGCCCTGGGGTTACAGAAATGAGCTCTCACATATAGCTTTTACATTGGTCCTGAAATCAATAAGTACTTTATATACCAAAGCATCTCTCCATTCTCAATGTGAGAATTTCTCAGGTTAAAGTTTGACTTGATAAGACGTAGCCTTGACTACTTATTTGGGTAAATTAGTATTTCAGTGTTTGACACTTCGTAACCCCCTTGATTTGTGCTGAATAGAAGGATGCTTGGAATTGTGCTTGGCAGATTCCTACAGTACAGTGACAGCAGCACACAGATTTCCTTTAAAACAGAAAGTGCTCTTCTGCGTATTCTTTCTGGACATGTAGGCCTTAAATTGATGACATCATGGGGATTCCTCAGAGATAATAATGGTAGCTTTGCTTGTAAAGACCATCGGTTCTCCACAGACCCATGGCTGCCCTGCCTTGGGCTTGTTACCAGGCCATCCTACCTAAGACCTGAAAGTAATAGTCATCACCATTGCCACCCACTTCCAGTTCAGTTTGGCTAGCCCGTTGGGTGGCACAGGTTGATTGACAGCAGGTGGACATATGTGGTCCTCTGCATGGTGTGGAGGCAGACTCTGCTTTGTACTTCTCCAGTGGGGTGGAGAGAGATTTAGTACACAAGGAGCAATTGGGTTCTGAGAGACAGATGTTCATAAGTGACAAAAGAATCAGGAAACAGGGACAGGTGCCATGACGCGGAAAGGGAAGATAGCATCCTTCCAAAGCACCTTTCGCACTTTCCTTGAAAACCTGAGAATTGTGTAAATGAATGAGAACTTCGGTGTGAGGGAAGAGCCTGGGTCAGTGGAGGAGGCCAATAGATCTGCCCTTGAGCCATGATTCAACCAGTGAGTGTGTCGGGGACCTCAGTTGTTGACTCTTGGGATTACAATTGCTGTGTCCAACGACTTTGCTTTTGTCTTGCAGGCGGATCGGACATTGAGTATCTGGACTTCTACAAGCCTGTTGTGTGGTTCTGGATCCTGGTCGGGCTTGCTTACTTTGCTGCGGTTCTGAGCATGATTGGAGACTGGCTGCGGGTGATATCTAAGAAGACCAAGGAAGAGGTGAGGGTGAGGGTACATGGAGACAGCATCCAGTAAAGGGTTGGTTTTATGTTCTTTTAAAAAAGTATTCACAAGCTTAAACACTTAGTGTTTGCGTTAGCATAGAATGTACTGTATGAAGTAATAAAAAATACAGGAGCTATAGTTCAGTCAATATAAGTATTTGTTGAATACTTATTATTGTGTCAGTGGCTATTTAGGAATTCAGGTTCATTTGTAATGAAAAATGATATAATTTAAAATATTTTGTTAATTATATATTTTTCTTTTGTGTTCTTTGTTTTGTGCAATGGCACACGGTGAGGTCTGTTCCATGGAAAGAATTTCTTGGGGCTGTAGTATACCGCCATGGTAGAACACTTGCCTAGCATATGGGGAACCCTAAATTCAGTTCATAGCAATGGGGGAAAATGTATCGGTGTATCAGGGAATGAATAGTGAATGCTCTACATAGTAGTGATTTATTCAGCTATTTCCTTTTTTCTTATGTCTATATAAATGCGTACATGTTCACACTTGGACGTACATGTTCACACATGGACATACACATATATATTAGAAAACTGTGTGCACTGTGACTCTTTTCACCAGAACCTGCAAGTGTTCAGAATTTTGAGTATTTTATACAACAAAACATGTAGTACTGATCTTGAATCTTCTGATACATGAAGTTTTAAAAAATGTTTTGACATTTATTCCTTGGATATTCAGTTTTGATTTTGTATTTATATTTGCAGAAGTACCATTGGTTGTTGGAGGATGACTGAGTTGTGGGCTTGTTTGTTTGTTTATTTATTTATGAATATATTTTTCTTCTGGTGGGACTTGCCAACTTTGCTAGTTGTTTAAGGGAGTCACCGGGCTGTGCGATCTGCACCCATGGCACTCCGATGCCTTCCTCTAGTGAGCCTGTCCATTTCATCATCCACAGGCCAGACTGCACCAGTGTCAAATCTTTGGTTGTTAAAAGCACACCTTCTTTAAATGTCTATCCAAGAGAAAGAGACTAAAATAAGAAATAGTGGGTGTGATTTCTTCTTATAAATTTTATCTTACTGTTTTGAAGCATGTCAAGTCACACAGTGTTTATTGATACCTTAGGTGCTAACAGTAACAAGAGTGTGAGTTACCTAATGCTGTGTCCCACGGGTACCAGATTGCCCAGTTGGGATGTTGTGTATTTAGTCTAGATGTGTTTTCTGCATCTCGGTTATACCATATGCCAGAAATCTTTTTATTGTGAGAAAATCAGCAAGACAGAATGCTCCATATGTTAAATTGGGTCAAAGACCTCTTTTCTGTGGGACCAGAAAGGATCTAAGTCATGGGCTTGGGATGTGTGGAGTGGGGAACGGGGGGAAAGGAGATGTTTACTTGAACTTCATGTATACTTTTCCCGAATCCTGAAATTCTCAGGGATAAAAAGAGTTTGTGGTAACGAAACATTTTTGGATAACAGTTAAAAAGAAAGGAACTCAGGTGTTCATCTAAATTACTTTCAAGTGCATCAAAATATTGGCACACGTGTGCACATGCACACACCATCATTTCTTAAATATTGGCACACGTGTGCACATGCACTTGCCATCATTTCTTAAAGCTTGAACTTCGACAGTTAGGAAAAATATCATTGTGTGACACACATATTATGTGCTGTAAATTAAATACACATACACACTAACACTAAAGTCTAGATGCCACTGAGGTGTAACATGGGGAGAGAAGATTTTATGTCTTTACACGGTCCATGAAGTTGCTGTAGCGTGTGTGTTTAAGTACGAAAACTTTGTCGTGGTGTTTTTTTCAGTGGGACTAGCTGGCTGTGCCCCAGCTCACTTCTCCAGAGTAATGACAAAGCAACTTAGTTTGTGTTTGGGGCTGTTAGAACCAGGGCAGTAAGAGCTCGATTTTCTCCCCGCTCTGCAAGCCATTAAGTCTAAAAGGGTGCTGGCAGGTGTGGCCCATGGTGAGTCCTCTCTCCCTGGCTTGCATGGATGCTAGAAGGCATAGTCCATGGCGTGGCCTCTCTCCCTGGCTTGCACATGTCTTAGCTGGCATGGGCCATTGTGAGGCTTCGCTCACTGGCTTGCACATGTCTTAGCTGGCATGGGCCATGGCGTGGCCTCGCTCCCTGGCTTGCACATGTCTTAGCTGGCATGGGCCATGGCGTGGCCTCGCTCCCTGACTTTCACATTGCTACATCCTCACCTGGCCTTTTAGGGATTTATGGAGACTAGGGTATAGGCCATGACACTGTCTTTTCAAATTCAATTTACTGTTTTACAAAATGGGTTTGTTACATGTGGACAGTGAGGTCATGTGCCCAATTATAAAGGGTTTCCCTGGCTCTCAGCTAAAAGTATGAATGTGTTTTCATGCTAACTCAGCATGAAAAAGGTTAAAGGAAGAAGCCATTTTTTTCCTTACCACAGACCTTTTGACTGCTACAAAGTCCTGAGTGCCATGTGCTGTCTGGAAACAGCATCTGTAGAGTCATGTGAGGGTGGCTGTGGCCAGAGACAGTGTAAGCCCCGAGCTGTAGCAGCTCCTGTTGAACCCATGGAAAATGAGTTTAATTTGAGTAGATGTTTATTTTCTGATTTATGATGCAATTTAAGGAAATTCAGAACGGGGTCACAAACTAGCAAAGAATGTGGGGGTAGGGTGGAGAAGGCACTGTGTAATTAATTTGGGCATCAGGAACCAAGTATTTAATAAACGACATCATGCTTAGTTATCTGTCCCAGTGAGAAGATAATAGATAATTTACACTATGAAATAGCTTTGGTGAAGGCTATGACCACAGCAAAACCAAAGTGTGGATTCAGGATCTAGAGTGATAATTCTATGACTCACACACTGCCCAACTAGAGCAAATTTTAGTTTAACAAGTCTAAGCATGGCATTAGTATTTTGGAATATGGCTGAGCCACAGTGACAAAATACATACATACATACATACATACATACATACATACATACATACATGCACACACACACTATATGAAGGGTTTGCATCATTTCAAATGTTAAACCATATACTATTGTCATCGAGGAATCTTTTCAATGGAATTAAGGTTTCAGAAGTAAAGAAAAGCATAGCTTTCCCTCAGCATGATGGAGTGAACATTGCTGGTCTAGTGAATCCACCTGAAGTGCCTGAGGAGGAAGCCACTGCCTGGAAGAGCATGACATTAATCCGGAAGCACCACACATAGCTGTAGTTGGTCTGCATTTCTCAAGGAAGGCAATGGCGAGCTTAGCCATTTTCTCCTGGAGACAAATGCATGTCTGAAAAGTGTGCTCCTTTGTTATCTTTTCTAAGTCCCCAGAGAAGGTAGATGGGGTTTAGCAGAAAATATTAACACAACTAAGTATTTTCCCCATTAACCCATGCACCCTATCCTGTGAGGGATCATGTTTCCATTTTGAAAGCAGGGAGTATGTCACTGCACAGTGTAATGTAGTATCACTGATACCCAATTCAGGTGTAACAAAAATAAGGTGTTCTCACAACACCCAGAAAATAAAATCGGTCCTTGCTTAGGGGCAAAGTAGGGAAGAACGAACCCTGACCCAGACATTGCTTAGTCACTTACTGTTTACATCTGAGTGCGGGAGCTGTGGCTTCTGTGCACACCTGGGTTGCAGTCCACGGGAGGAAGGCAGCAGCAGTATCCCAACACAGAATGACAGTCCTGTCAAGCCTTGCAGAAAAGGGGCACTGTGAATGGATGCCCAAGCAATGCTTTTTTATTGCAAATATTATTTCTTTAGTCTCTGAAAATATTGATGTGGATTTGAGACTCCAACTTTGTTGATTTGGTCATCTGTTATCTAGGAAAAAAGCCAGGGTCTGGGGCCTCTAGCTCTCTAGCCCCTGAGAGACTGTGAACTGACCTCAGCATCATGAAGTGACCCAAGAACAGGAGGGGAGAAACGTTTCTTCCTCTGGACACACAGTGACATCACTGGTCTCTCTACCTCTCTCAGCACGGTAGAGACCCTTTTAGTGAGGGAACTTAGGGGATCAATGCCATGTCCGGAAAACAGACAACTGAAGAAGAGATCTGGGTTGAGCCCTGGGAGCTCTGCAGAACAGGAGCTGATCAGCATCGCTTAAGTGAGAATTGCTTTCTAACACTCTTACAAAAGCTTCGACTTTCTCCCGAAAGAAAGTCTCAGGAGTCATTGAAGGGTCTTAGGGAAATAGAGTAAATGCTTTCACAAGAATGAGAAAGATGAGGTTATAGATGCAGATGAGAACACTCAGTTGGGAGGGATTGGTCCAGGAAGACTTTGGTAATGATGAGGTAGAGATCAAAGTATTTATTCCAGAAACACTTGGTGGCTATGGCTACAAGGAATGTACTTCAGTTACTTCTTAGTTTGTATGATGAGAAAACAAAACAAAACAACAACAAAAAACAAAAGATGGTGTCCAGGATTCTAACTTCAGTAGGGTACCCACCACAGGAAGGAACACAGAAAACTAAAAAATACTGAACAGATGGGGGGATAGGATAATCTCATTTTGACGTATATTGATTCTTGAATAATTTGCACATCCAAATGATTAATTCAAGTGTAACATAATGGATCTGCATGCCTAGATATATGGGAAAATGGGAGCTGGGAAGATGGTTTGGGGATCAGGACTATATAAGTGACAATGGAGTTTGTGAGTGTAGATAAATGTCTTCATTAATGTTTGTACAGTGGGACAACCACAGAGATAAAAATGAAACCTGGGGCAAAATGTTCATTGAAGGAGCTGAAGCTGAAGGTGGAGACTCACATAGCTTAATGAATCCTCTGGTGGCAGACTCTGCTGAAGAGGCAAGGGAGGGAGGGAGGGAGGGAGGGAGGGAGGGAGGGAGGGAGGGAGGGAGGGTTTGGAGGGTGATAAAATGACGGATTGTGTTGGCTAAAGACGGTGGAGAAGAAGATGAGTCACAGGGAAGCACAACATCCCAGGAACAGATACTAAAGTGACTCAT